TTTATCCAGAGTTAATCAGAACCGCCATTCAAATTTATGTCCATAACCTCCTGTACAACTCTATTCTAATCATTTCCATCAGAAAGTAGTGGCTTGCTATTATTAGCCAAACCATTACAGATTAATGGAGAAAAGAATAGATAAATAACTTTCAGTAAATCAGAGGATAGATTCTTGGAAACTGTTCCAAGTAATGCACACCTGGAATAGATCACAGGATCAAATTGTTAGTTATATAGGAATAGACTCATTAAATGACACGTCAAATTAAAAGCTATTAATATGCACTCCTATACTAGAGCACTCCAGGAAGCTGAAGCAGGAGGACTGCCAGGTTCAAGGATAGCCTGGGCAAATCAGAAAGATCCTGTCTCTAAATAATGATGGGCTAGGGATATAATTCAGAGTTAAGGTCCTGGATTCAATCACTGTTACAATCAATCAATCATTGAATCAATTTTGTATAATAGAATAAAACACAAAACTATGCCTTTGGGGTGATGCTAGCTACTATTAATCATACCAGACTGTGACTTGGCTCTATTCAGATTTACTTTTTGCTCATGTTGCTAAGCAGTGAGTGACCCTCCAACTGGTGACTTAGATATCTAGGTTCTTTCTGTTTTGTGGCTCTACTTTAAGCCGTACCCTCTGAAATCTCTGCCTTCAGGCAGAGAATGGAGTAGAAGAGAATAGGGTAGAAGTTACTCCTTAAGGTTCTTATCTCTGACATCCCTTCTACTCTACAACTAGTCCCATGACCTGGGAGTATAGACCTTGGGTGGGCACCACCTTCTCAAAACAACTCTACACCAAGAAATGAAGGCAGGAGGAGTCTTTGTAGATCATTAGCTGCTTGGCTATACCTATTAAACCTTCTTTAGCATTGTAGTTCTCATATTAATGAGTTTTGTTTTCTTATACCAAAGGATTGGACAGGAGGATACATTTGGTGAAAGAAGCAGGGTAATGCTTAACTTCAAATGGCAAAATTTAGCTTCATCACAGTTTAAATTAGTCCCATCAAATATCCACCACCCTACTCTGTTCCTCTAGTTTAACTCTTCATGCTTTGTTGTGTTTTAAATATATTTTTGCTTAGCAGTTTAAGAGCTCACAAGAACAGAGTTTATTGCTTTGTTTTTCTTGCTTTTTCCTGTTTATTTTTTTCCATGCAAGAGTCTTCAAATGGTTTGAGTTAAAGTAGCTCTCAAAACACAGGCTGGCCAGGAGCCATCTGACGTCATCTGAGCACCTCTGCTGTTCTCCCAAGATGTCAGAACGCATTTCTCTTAGCGTAGAGCTCCTGTGTCAGTATCTTAGGGGATGAAGAGATACCATCTCTGGAGAGAATGGCCTGGAATAGAAACAAAATCTGAGGTTTTAGAGGAAACCAAAGCAGAGTTTAGTTCCCAGGGAAGGTGGTCATATATGGAGTCATCAAGAATCCAAGCAATTGGGCCGGGGATTTAGCTCAGTTGTTCCACCGCCTGCCTCGCAAGCATGAGGACCTGAGTTTGATCCCCGGTACCAAAAAAAAAAAAACAAAAACAAGAATCCAAGCAATTATCAGCTTCTAACTTGGGTTCTTTGTAATTTCAACAATTTTGCTGAGCATCTTTCATACCAAATTACACATTGAGGCAAATTGTTTTGCGCTTCTGTTGAGAGTAAAGAATCAGTAACCTCCCTCCTCTCTCTCAGGGTTCCCTCCTATCTTTGGAATGAAATGTAGGTTCTCCTAGCTGTGGAAACAGGGTGTACATGGTGGAGTCCTTTAAGCCAAGTTACAGATAGAACATACTGGGCTTCCTAACTGAAGCGTGGCTGAAAACCTCTGTTTTTGTCTAAAATTGTCCAAAGATACATTTAATAAACATTCAGGCAATTATAAGATAACTTTAATCTCTTATTTTAAATGTCTGGCAACTAATACCAGCTCTTGGGCTGCAACAGTGGTTATGCAAAGTTATTATCACTCTAACAGCATATCTTTAAAATGCCTGGTATATGGGAAAGCATTCAGGGAACTATAAGAAATATGAAGAATCAGTGAGATCTCCAAAATCAAGGCACTTAGAGGCTCATCCATGTTTCTAGACAGATGCACGTATAAAGCTAAGGAATACCTGATGTTTGGTATGCTTAAGGGTCAAGAGAATGAAACAAAGTGTGAGACCTCTAGGGGTTTTAAGGGGAGTGGTGAGCCTTGGGTGGCTGGGGTTGTGTCATCCAGGAGACACCATGAAGAATGCTGTGACACTCTTCCCTTGTTTGGAAACCCCATTCACATGCAGCATCTCATCCCTGCGCGTGCACTTCTATGCAGTGTGAAGAGCAGATGTCATTAGCCCATTTTCCACATGTGGGATGTGAAGCACAGTGAGGCACAGCAGTGGATAAGAAGCAGAGATGTAGGGGGCAAAACCCAGGCCTAAAGCAGGATCTAAAGGTTTTCTTCCTCCTACAATCATCTTTGGTAACACTAGATAATTTCCTTCTATACATTCTTATTCCTGAGGATGGCAGGAAATCTACGCTTAGACAATCAGAAAAATAATAGACAAAACATGAGCTCTATAAGTAGAGATGAATGCATTAACTCTGCCACTGACTAGATCCTGGGAGAGTGACTTAACCTCACTGATCTCAAGTCTTGCTTCTGTAATTATGTGAGTTTGTTGAGAGGATTTGTGAAGCAATGGAAGGAAGACACTTAGCATAGTGTGTTGCACTCATTAAGCACTTGTGAACTTATAGCTATGATTTTAATCTAAATATATATTTTTTAATTTCATAACAGGGTAGGGCATGTAGACCTGTAAATTGGTTTCTCCTTGCAGAGGACCAAGGAAAGGGTAAGAGTTTAAATCCAAACTAACCTTTCAATGGCAGCAGGAGACTGAGGCCAAGCTTCTGTATGCCATGAATGGGACAGTCCAGCTTTTCCACATTCAGAGTTTAGGATGAAGTGACTTGGAAGAAGGAGGGGAAATTGAACTACTCCTGGGGTCAAGTGTCAGGTCAAGTAAAAAAAAAAACTTTCAAATATGGGAAGGCACTGGTAAAGATGGCATGGTTGTTATGGTAACAATAATTTTTTAGCTCCTCTGAGTTGAGATTTGTTCTGAGCGTGTGTTTCTGTTCACTGAAATTGGCAAGGACTGTAGAAGTGTATTTCAGTTAACTGATGTTGGGATGTACTTGGAAGAATGTTGTGCATGTACTTGTATCGATTGATAGTGAGCCCTTGTGGAGACCTCTGCTGTCTGTGTCAATACTCTCTGCAGTCCCTTGGGGTACACGTGCTCCTTTCTTGTCTTTGTGTGCTGTGATGACTGCATGTAGCAGTAGTCACATAGAAAGATTTAAATCTTTAAATGGGAGTTTCAGTTTTTTTAAATCCTAAAGACATAGCTTGAGGGCTAAGTTAATTAACTGTTACCAAAATAAAGTAGAAGAAGGAAACACTGTTTGCTCAAGCATGCAACTTTTATTAAGTGAGAGTGAGAAAATGTGCATTTTTTTTAATGCAAAAGCTGAGAAGTTATACTTCAAGCATATGAAACCTCCATGCTTCACTGGGGAAGGTCTCTGGAGAAGCTGAAAAGTCAAACACTAATTAATCAGGGAAAACAAAACAAAACATAAACTAAGAAAATGAAATAGCAACTGTTTGTAGTAACAGTTGGCTTCTTTATTGGAAGCCCCATCTGCCTCAGTATATAGTTCATTTATCAGTCATCTTTGGGGAATGTAATACTCCATATAACTTAACTTTGTAGATTTTTCTTTTCAGTCACACTCAGATAGAAATGCTTTATTTTTGGGTGAAAATTTTTGCAAATTGTTTGCCATCTCTTAAGCCAGAGGACAGTGAACCTGAGTCAACTTCTTTGTGCATATTAGTTGTTTTTTTATAGATGTGCAAATACTATTCCAGTATTTTATTAAAGAAAATAATACTATTATATTAAAGGAACCAATAGTTTTCTAATTAATTTGAAATTCAGAAACATTAAAAAGGGAAAACATGTATCTAAGGATACAGGAAAAATGGTAATAGTGTTTCTTAACCCAAACCAGAGAGAGCTATTGAATATAGTTGATCATCGTAAAACTCCAGGCTTTGCTGTTTGTGGAGCAGCCTTGCTCGGTGGGGGTTTTCTCTCATCCAGTGTGATGTCCCAGTGGAGACAACACATCCATCTTGCCCATGCGTAAAGGTTTGCTTGCTCTAATATGCTTGGGAGCGGCAAGCCACTTTGTTGCGCAAAATTTAGGATTATCTATAAAGCCAGTAACTTTCCAGCAAACTCCACAGATTGCATATGTTGACCTTTGGGTTCTTTTTTACTAGGCCCCAGTCTGGGGCTTGTCAGGTATCATGGTTGCCAGCTTTGTGATGAGTGTTAAACTATTATCTAGAGCTTTTAATAAAACACCTGACACCTAGATGACAAGGGAAGAGTATTAGTGCTAGGGGAAGGAAGGAAGGGGAAGAAATTACGGTATAGTACAATACTTCCCCGGTACACAAAACCTTTCCCCATCTCCCAAAAACTGATAAGATGGAAATAAGGGCAGGGGCAAGTAAGAAAGTTGTACAGAAGAGAAAGCTCTGGAAAAGTGCCGTGAAATCAATGGTTATTTCAAATGTCTTCTCTTATTTTATGCTTAAAATCTTATGCTTAAAATCACAAAGGCTGATTGATTCACAAGATTCGTGGGGCTAAGTGCATGTAAAGGATAATCATTTTCAAATTATATTGATAAAGTAAAATTGAACTGCACCTGAAATAATTGGTTTTTAAACTTCTAATATTTTCTTCAGCCAAGTATCGAAGGGAAGCTGAACTGTGCCTGTGCAGTTTATCATTTGCAGCTCCTTTTCTGGCTGCCAGTCCACTGAGATAGCTCTTTTTACCAAATAAGAGCATTTCTATTAGTCAAGTCTAGAATATGCATAACTGTCTTTGATAAGGGAAGAACTCACCCATGAGCCACTGAAATCGACATCTCTAGAGAAGCTGGGATGCGTTTTTATATTGTATCTGAAAAGATGCCAGTATGTTAGAAGTTACAGGGATTAACCAATTTCAGGTCCTGTGTACCTGTCACCAGGAACTCTGCTTAGTATTGGGTTTAGTTTGTCACACTTTGACATGATCCTGAAAATAGAGGCAAATCTCTTATAACATTGCTAGTTTTATTTTACTACTTTTTTTAGTGATGCAGCTAGTAGGAATCTTCCCAGATAAATTTGCCTGGTAATTTGGATATGATCTCCTTCTTAAAAGTGTGTATGTTGAACTGATAGACTGTGTCTTGTCTCTCATGTCCTACAGTGACTTGATTCCAATACATGGTCAGTCAGTGTTTTGAGTGAATGCTCATTTTATTCAGTAAAGGCTTCTGCAGAACAGGGAGAATGATAGTATGTGGCACTGGTGACCCATACATACATGATGATCACCGATGCCGCTCAGTGAAATAATAACTTGGATTTCTTCACTCCGTAGTGGTGAGTGATAGGGGCTTCTTGTATGATCTGCATAGCATTGTGAAGGCCTCACTAACTTTGGTGGTGCACAGATTTGTCTTTGAAAGTGAAAAATACCCATTCAAACTTGACCTCAGAGGCCTGTCGGTAGTTAAAGGTTAATTTGTTTTATAAGGTAAATTGTGACTCTCATTCAAGTAATACATGGACTCATGTTGTGATGGTTAATTTTTATGTGTCAGCTTGGCTAGGTCAGGGTAGCCAGATATTTGGTGAAAATTATTGAAAGTACCTGTGAAGATATGTTTGGGGTAAGGTAAGTAGACTTCAAACCAAGCAGATTGGCCTCCAAACTATGAGTTGGCTTCTTCAGTCAGTTAAAGGTCTTAAATAAAAGACAGACCTGCCCAGAGGAAAAAGAATTGTGCTACCCAACTGCCCTTTGACTCCAGCTGCAATATCAAGTCTTTCTTGGTATTCAGGCTCCTGGCTTATTCTGCAGATCTGGGGTTTACCAGCCTTCACAACTGTGTGAGCCAGTTCCTTAAAAGGGGCTCAAGGGAGTGCTAGGGGAAGAGGAGAAGGGAAAGGAAAATAAAACGATTTAAGATGTGTCATGTACATGTATCAAATACTCCTAATGAATGTGAACATTATATGTCATAAATGTGGACTAATAATAATAATAACAAGAATGAAGGTGGAGAAAGGGGATCTAGAGCTAGAGAGAGAGGTAAGTCAGGAACAGAACGGAAATAAAAGAGAATCAAGATATGTTATGTGTATGTACCTACTCTCTAAGATGAATATAAACATCATGCACTGCAAAAAATGTGCTAATAAAATAAAAATAAAGAGAAATCTTGTGTTCTCTTTCATTTGTGTGTGTGTGTGTGTGTCTATATACATGATGTCCCATCAGGTAGGGGTCCTGGAAAGCAGGGATCTTCCTGTGAAGAGAACCTCTGCTTCCTTGGTTCTGTCCCTTCACCCTGGCAAGATTGCAGGAGGTGAAGCAAGGCTGACTCAAAACTGAAGATCCCTTTGGTGTAAAATGAGGAACTCAAGTGAAAGTAAAGTGAAGTTTAATTGTAGTATTGCGGAAGCAGCGACTGCCAGACAGAAAGTGAGGTATTTGACAGGGTAAAGCCCCAAGCTGAGCCTCTTGGCATGGTGTCTTTGGCTTCTCTACACTTACAGGGATAAGCTGATTCCTAAAAATAAATATTTCACTGATTGGTATAATCTGGGCCAATGAAGGTCTTAGCTTTTGTTTCTGGGGTGAGCTAAAGTTCAAGAAGTCTAAGAGCACATAGCAAATGCATGCAAAAATCCCGAAAAGGGCAACTTCCCTAAGTACATCATGCATAGTAAATGTATGGTCACCCCTGTCATCTCCACCACAGCAGCCATCCAGGTCATGCCCTAAGCTGCCTATTGTCTCCCACTTGTCCCTACAACTATACATATATACATTTTTTTTCACTCAAGTTGTATTGCTTCTATTCCTTTAGAGAGACTTGACTAATAACCATATCAACTATTTAACTCATTTATTAATGAGGGAACTGGTAAAATGTTACAATTAGTTCACAGGAGAATTCAAAGTACTAACACTTTGATAAAATAAGAATGTTTTAGGAAAAATTATGTGATTGTAATAGCGTGAGTTTTAGAAAATGGTAGGTTTGGTCATCAAATTTGAGAGCTTTTCTTTGAAAAAAATTCCATCTATATGAGTGAGTGTAATCATATATTATTGAAACAAACTTAGTAACTGAAAGAAAACCTATTTATTAAATGTGTTTAGCACCCATATATTGCTGATATGGCCCCTGAGGTTATCAGTTGATGAAATTTAAAATCTTTACACCTTGAAACTTATTCCATATTTAAGCAACCTAGTCTACTTGGCACTAGTAGACTTCTATTGGTAAATAGTAGTAATATTTATAATACTAAAAATGTACCTCTTCATAAGGGTTTGGGGTGGAGGATTACAATTTTTCTGTTAGAACTTTTTTTCTGGCCAATTACTGATTAACATTGTAGATATTAAACCCACTAATACAAGATTCATAGTGATATCTTTATTTTAAAATATCAAATAATATTAAAATACAAAGCACAACAGGATGAGTGAGTCAGCATTGCACAACAATTCCCCATTTCTGCCTCCTTAACCCCTTCAGTTCCAGCATCCACCATTCTTCTTTCTGTTTCTGTGAGCTCTGACTACTTTAGATAGTTTGTGTAAGAGATAACGTATAAGTGTTCGTCTTTATGCGATGGGCCTGTTTCATTTGGCATGATGTCCTCTGGTTTCATCCATGTTGTGGCATATGAGGGGGTGTCCTTCTCTGATAAGGCAGAATATTCTGTGGTGTGTCGATACCATGTTTTGTTTACCCATTCATCTGTGAATGCACATTTGTATTGCTTCCACCTCTTGACTGCTGTGAATGACGATGCTACAGATATTCATGACAAGCATCTCGTTAAGACCTTGCTCTCAATTCTTGTAGGCATCTATCTACAAGTGGAACTGCTGGAGAATGTGACAGTTCTAATATTAATTTCTTGAGATGCCACAGTACTCTGCTCCATAGTAATGCACTGTTTTACACTCCCACCAACAGTTTTTTTCTTGAATAAACCCATGCTTATTTTCTGTTCTGTTTTGTTCTTTTGATATTCCAGTGAGGGTAAGGCAATGTTTCTTTCTGATTTTGATTTTCATGTTGCTGATGAATAGTATCATTGTGAAACTTTTCATATGCTTCCATCTAATTATACATAATCTCAGGCAAAGTATCTTTTGAATTGATTTGTTGTTATAGCAGTTCTGTGTATGCTCTATATATCAACACATTATCAGATATATGATTTGATTTTTTTTTGCATTCTGAATATTTATTTTCAAGTTGGTTGTGTCCTTTGATGTACAGAAGTTTTTTTAAGTTTGATATAATCCCATTTGTCTGTATTTGCTTTTGATGCTTGTACTATGGGTATCATATTCAAGATATTGCTGACAAACGTATTATCATGAAACCTTAAAAATAACTGAGTCAAATTCTAGTGTTAGGAACATAATTGTCAATGAGCAGGCAAAAAGCCTGTCTCGGTCACTTTTTTGGTAATTGAGATAACAGTACTCACACCCATACATTAAAGAAGGAAGGGTTTATTTTGGCTAATAGTTTGGAAAGTGGTAGTCCATGAACAGTCAGCTGGCTACAAGGTAGAAACAACACAGTGTAAGGGCCTTGGCAGAGGAAAACTGCTCATGTTATGGCACCAGGAAGTAGAGAAAGAATGAAGAAACCAAGAAGGGAGATAAATCCTTCCAGGTCCACCCCCATGACCGGGCTCTAACCAGGCCCCACCTACTAACAGCAAATCATCTGTGAACCAACTCATCAGTGAACTGATTCATTGATGTGTCTGTCACCCCTGTGATCCAGTCCCCTTCCAAACACAAGAGGCCTTTGGAAGACACCCCAAATCTAAACCATAAAAAGCCTGTTGTCAAATTTTTTGACAAAAGCAATTTATTGTATTTGTTATTATAGATAAATGACCAATATATTAGTTTTCAGTTGCTGTTGTCACAAATTACCACAAATTTAGTGGCTTTAAACAATACAAACGTTTTATTTTTTATCCAGTAAGCTCAGCTACTTTCTCTACTTCACTCTCTGAAGGCAGAAATCATGATGTTGTGGTCTTTCTGTTCTTCTGGAGGTTTTGGGTGAGACTCTGCTTCTAGTATCATTCAACTTGCTGGCTGAGTTTTCACTTTTAGTTTTCACTATCTGCTTGCTGGCTGTCTTCTGGGAGTACCCTCAGCCTTGAGAGGCTGCCCACATTGCTTAGGATGTGGTCCCTTCCTGTATCTTCAAAGCCAGCGATCGCGTGTTGATACTTCTCGTGCTTGAGACTTTCTTCCACATCATCCTCCTGTCTAGCTGAGAAAGGCTTTCTGCTTTCACAGCGTGCTTGATTAGAGTGGGTCCTCTAGATAATCCAGGTTAGGGTTTAGTTACTTTCTCTTCATTGGCACAAAATACCCAACATACACAATTTAAAGGAGGAGAGCTTTATTTTGGCTCCTATTTCAGGAGTCTCAGTCCTTGTATGTTGACTGTCTTCACTTAGAAGCAGCATGGTGGAAGGGACTGGAGGAGGAAATCTGCTCACGTCATGACAGCCAGGAAACAGAGAGGGAACAGAGGACCTGGGGAGGAAGATACACTCTTCTGGTTTATGCCCACAGTGCCCTGCCTCTTCCTACCAGACCCCCCTTCCCAATTCCATTTTGGTATGATGTCTCCATAGTCCAGTCACATTCCAAACACAGGAGGCTTTGGGGGCTACTTTAAATCTAAACCATAACAAGTGGTCCCATTTTAAGTTTTATAACCTGAAGCAACCTGCACATTTCTTTTTGCTGTGTATCCACAGGTTCTGGCAGTTAGCATGTGAACATCTTTGAGGGGACACTTTTGTTCCTTCCACAAAATATCTATTGCTTTTTAAAGAATTAGA